TCGGGGTCCGTCCATTTCCTCAAACAATCTCTGCTAGCCTGCCCTCCTCTCGGGGTCCGTCCATTTCCTCCTCCAATCTCTGCTAGCCTGCCCTCCTCTCGGGGTCTGTCCATTTCCTCAAACAATCTCTGCTAGCCTGCCCTCCTCTCGGGGTCCGTCCATTTCCTCCTCCAATCTCTGCTAGCCTGCCCTCCTCTCGGGGTCCGTCCATTTCCTCAAACAATCTCTGCTAGCCTGCCCTCCTCTCGGGGTCTGTCCATTTCCTCAAACAATCTCTGCTAGCCTGCCCTCCTCTCGGGGTCCGTCCATTTCCTCCTCCAATCTCTGCTAGCCTGCCCTCCTCTCGGGGTCCGTCCATTTCCTCAAACAATCTCTGCTAGCCTGCCCTCCTCTCGGGGTCCGTCCATTTCCTCAAACAATCTCTGCTAGCCTGCCCTCCTCTCGGGGTCCGTCCATTTCCTCAAACAATCTCTGCTAGTCTGCCTCCAGTGACTTCCGTTCCCCAGTTTCCCTCATTTTCCATCCTGGCTTCTCCCCACCCCACCTGGAGACGTGGCGTTTGTGTTTGATTTGGCCTCCAATTGCCTTCTTTGATTTGCGCGCGCGTTCCCCCCGGGGGGTCGGCGCGACGACGCGTAAGCTGTCACCAAGCCCGGCGGTGGGGATTGGGTAAAGAGTAATACTAAAAGGGCTTTTAGTTAGCTTGGCTCTCTCTTTCTCTCTCTGCCTCTCTCTCTCTCTCTCTCTCTATCTATCTATCTCATAGTTTCCCCAATTCTGGACTGTTAGCGGGGGGAACCAAATTTTCTCCTGTGATTCTCTACGGTTATTACGGATTATTTTAAGTTGTTTTGTTCAGAATTTCTAGCAATTAAAAACTACTAAAAACACTATAAAAATACATAATATATCATTAACAGAAAATACAGGTGGAAAAACAAAAAGTCGTTCCACCGGCTAACAGTCCAGAACCGTCCCCCCTTCCTGAAATTTTTCATGAGCATAAAAAGCCCCCAACTAGCCCACCCGGCAGTTTTTCCGCCGGAATTATGGCCCTTTTACGGCGCTGCAAACGTGAGGCTTCTAGATGCGACGTGGGGGCTTTTCAGTGCTTCTCCCCGCCCGTGATAAGCTGCACGCCTTTTCGGGTGGCTGGCCTCGTCGGCAAATTTTTGTGCATACCTTGGAGGAATTCGCTTAATTTTAGAAGCTTGGCTCCACGGCTTAGAGCTTGCTTTCTAGGCGGAAATTCGTGCAAAGCTACGTTTAACTGCATCTCTCTCTCTCTCTCGCTCTCTCTCTCTCTTTCTCTCCCTCTGTCTCCACCTCCCTCACGCTCTCTCGCCCTTAGTCTCTCTTTCTCACTCTCTCTCTCTCACTCACGCTCTCCCTCGCCCTCTCTCTCTCCCGCCCTCGCTCGCCCTCTCTACCTCTCTCTCTCTCCCCTCGTTCTCTCTCTCGCTCTCTCTCTCTCGCCGCATCTTCTTTATTCCCTGTCTCGAAGGGAAAATGCGCCGATCTGATAACACTGAAGCTGTTTTAATTTGATAAGTTAAATCTAAAAAATTTTAGCCTTAATAAATAATTAGTTCTTATAAAATTCAACTTAATAGTAATTTAATAAAACTAAAAATCTGTAATTGACACCGGCCCAAAAAGTCATTTTGCCCCAAAAATATCTCGTTTTTCTCAACTATTTGTCCTTTTTCGCAACGAAATTAATTTTCTGGTATTTTTCGGCAGTCACCCGTACGTTTTTTGACAGTTGGACTCGATTTCGCGCATGCGAATTTTGACTTCCAGGGTCCTTTAAAAATCTCGCTCTCCAAATGTCCCGTACCGTCCGTTGGCGCTCTTCTTTTTTGGGTGGCCGGCTAGCCAGGGCTCCAGCTGAGTGACCAAATGCCCTCTCTCTCTCGCTCTCTCACTCCCTCTCTCTCTCTCACTCTCTCTCTCGCTCTGGTTTTTTCGCGCACTCACTGTCTCTCTATCGCCCTCTCTCTCTCTCTCCCTCTCTCTCTCGCTCTCGCTCTCTCTTGCTCTCCTGTCGCGCTCTCTCTCTCTCTCTCTCACTCTCTCCACCCATCCGTTTTTTCACCTAGTCCGCGCACCTGTTGCTCACACATGTACGCGTCGGTGCTCGCGCTGACCATTGGAGGGGGGGGGGAGCAGGCAAAAGTGCGGAAGATATATTGACGAGCGCGGCTTCCATTATACTTCCGTAATACGCCTGATCTCACTAATCATAGTGCCAAGGTTAATTCTTAAAAATCCCTCTAGTGTGGCATTTCAACGTCATGGTTTCCGAAATTCATTAGTCCCTCAAGGGACGCCCAAGGCAGATCTATGCGAGATTTTGTAGCTGTAAAACGCGACGCAACCCCTGTTTCTAGCTCCTAATTTGACGTGAAAAAGCGTGAATCGCCAGACCGTGACGGAATTTCTGGAATGGTCAACCAATTTCAATCGCACTAGCTACTTTAATCCTCAAAATCTGCCGAGGGATCACCCAGATCAACGAATTCGATGCTATACAAGGCGTTACGACATATAATCCGGAAACCAGGATCCCATTACGTCATCTATAGGGTGTCCCAAAAAAAGCACCCCCTCTAGCGGCACGCAGTCGTGTCCGAGTTTCACCGTTTAGGTATCTATCGAAAGCTCTCGAAAAGGCGAGAAAACAAGGAGGGTTCATTTTCTTTATTATGTACTTTTATTCGCTAATTTCGACTCCAAAAACCATGAAAACGGCAGATTTACGCGAGATCTGCATGCTAATTGCGAAATTCCGATTGAAAAGCTACCTGTTTTTTTAGCAAGACGTTGAATATCGGACGAATAAGAATAAATCTTAGAAAATCAAGCCCGCTTGTTTTTTCGCCTTTTCGCGGGCTTTCGAATGGTATAAAAATCATCCTGATCTGAGCTTTCCCGGGACCTCTAGAGGGGGGTGCTTTTTTTGAGACACCCAGTACTTGCCTTCCCCGTCCCTTTAAAAGAGCTTTGGCTTTATTGGATATGAATAGCGAAAGTGTTACTAAACGGTTTTTTACTATTCCTGAACATCTAAACTTTAAAAAATCTCTTTAAAAACTACAAAACAATACCGATTTTCCGACCAAAATCGGCTGTTTTTTTGATCAAAATTTTGGCGTTGTAAAAAATTTTCCAGTTCTTAGATAGTTTTTCTAGCTTAAATATAGTTTTATTCTACTAAAAACATTATGAAAATGCCTCCTATTTAGTCGCTAGGCATTTCTAGCGTAATACAAGAAAATTTGCCCCCCCGATAATGCGAAAGAACCTCATATTTGCGGTTCTGGACTGTTAACGGGGGAGGGGATTTTAGCAGGGGGAGACCACTTTCTATTTTTGCACCTATACCTTATGGAATTTCGTAGTGCTTTTAGTGGTTTTTGATTGAAATTGAGTGAATAATTTAAAAAATTCGACAAGCTTGACCTTGTTGAAAATTTTTGTTATTTTCTTTATTGTTTTTATATCTAAAAACGGTGTAAAATGTTATAAGAATGGTTTAAAAATTTTTTAGGGCCGTGGAGAATCACAGGCAAAAAATTTGGTCCCCCCCCCGCTAACACTCCAGAGCCCGAATTAGCATATGGTTGGTATTGAGTGAGTGTGTGTGTATGTGTTGGTTGTTTTCGGGGTTCGCCTTGACCCCCAGCGCGGGCGTCCGTCTTTTCCCATCTCGACCCGCGGCGCCTGATCCCCGTTCGCCCCCCTTAGGGCTACGCGCAACACCTCCTTCCGTCTCGTCCACTCTTTTCCATTCCATTCCATTCTCCACTCTCCGCCCCCTTTTCCACTGACCATTCGCGGGCTGGAGAAAGGGCCGCTTGCGCACCCCCCGAAGACGACGACACATTCCCCCATTCCATCCCCCCTCCCACACCAACAATCACTACAGCTGCGCGCGCTCCCGGAATTGGTGTGTTCTGTGTGTGGTATACCAAGTAAGTGCACCGGTTTATTTTTGGTACTGGACTATTAACGAGGGGGGTTAGCAGGGGGCCTAATTTTTGTCTTTCCGCCTACTCAGATAACAGAATTTTGAAAATCAGAATCGCGAATTTTCAGCATCTCCAATACAAAGAGAGCCACGATTTTTAAGGAGAGGCAAATTGAAGCGAAAACCAAAAATTAGATTAAATGAAGTGATTTGCAGTCATAATGTCGAAATCCGGAATTTCGAGGCCAGATAGCCGAAATTTCATAAGGTCGTAATTCATAATGTCGAAATTTAAAATGTCGAAATTGACATAAGCTAATTTTCCCGGAAAACCACTAGAATCCTATGCAAAAAATGTCGACATTATGATTTTCGACATTATGAAATTTCGACACTGTGAAATCTCGAGATTTTGAAAGTTCGACATTATGAAATTGGACATTATGAAATTTCGACACTATGAAGTTTCGACATTCTGAATTTCGCCATGATTAAATTTCGATCGAGATTTTGAAAATTTGGCATTATGATAAAAAAGCCATATAAGTGTCCTGGTTTATTTTTGGTACTGGACTGTTAGCGGGGGAACTTATGTTTATTTTCGGTTCTTTAGGATTCGCGGGAGGGGGCAACTTTTTTTGGGCGCAAGCCTAATTTTTTATAAACAGCTAATGCGTTTCTAAATTGTGGTTAACTAATCCTAAGCCTAAAAACTTTACAAATTATAATTAAAAACTTAAATTTAGCTCCAAAAATTAATTTTTTGGGGCCAATATCGCCAATTTTCGACTTTCAACCTTTTTTGAAACGTTTAGCCACTTTAAATATCGTTAAAACTTCCTAAAACCAATGTAAATTGCTTGGCCAACCGGGGCCGCCAGGAAAAAAATTACTTCGCAGAATCGGAAGCCGAGTTGCCGTTTTAAAACCCAGACCCCCGAAAAAAAGGCGCTCCAGGGGCTGCATGCGACGCGGTGACCGTCGGTGATCCACGCTCCACGAAAATCCCAACGAACGCTCCGGCGCCATGTCGTCCTCCTACTCGTATTCGGCGGCCATCTATGCCCCCGAGCAGCCGAACGCCAAAAGCGGTTTGTTTACGCTTCGTTCTCGCCTTGAGAGATGGCCGAGACGCCGGGGCCGTCCGCCGAGCAACTGGCCGCCGCCCCCCTCTACACGGCCTTTATCCAAAAACTGGCCAGCTAATTTGATTTCTGGCATTGATCAGCATTTTTGAAGCTTGTCGGGCTGGACTTTAATTCACCCCCTCCTCCCAGCTGGAAATTCCAAAAATTTTGCGGCATTTCCGCTATTTTGCCGGGATTTTGGCCACGCTATTGGATAGAGCAGAAAAAAAATATACTAAGACTTTTGATTACGCCTGAAAATAATGTCATATGAAAAAGTTATAGCGAAATCTATCATCTGCCCCCCAAAAAAAGCCAGAAGTATCGGATAGTAATGGTAGCTGCACCATTCGAAAGCTCTTGAAACGGCCTGTTTGCAACAAGCTTCAAAATCACGTTTTGATTTAAAGGCATTCTTTTACAATGCGTTTGCAAAGATTAAGGAACGCCCTCTGCATCTGACTAACGACCACTTCCGTCCATTTTACTCGAAAACTTGGGACAAATTCGCTCGTATGCAACCCCGAAAGCCGCAAAGTTTTCAAAAATGGCTTGTAAAAAGCGGGTTTAAATAGAAATATGATTTTGAAGATTGTTCCCAACTCGCCGTTTCAAGAATTTTTGAATCGAATAACCACCATCTCTGTTGCAAGCCGCGTTCTCTCCAGGGAGTCTTATGGTTTTCGTGTTCTGCCCTGCTGTTTCTTCTTTTTTTGGGAAATTGTCTCGTCTTCTTCCTCCTCACTTTCATTTCCACGCACGTCGTTTCCAAAATTTCGCCACTACTCTCGCCCTCCTGACCTACTTTCATTTTTCCATTCACAGATTCCAAAATTCGTCGCAATTCCTATGCTTTTCCCCTTTGGAACAAATTTCGTTGCCGTCGGCGTCTTCCTCTCTTTGTTTTCGGCGTATTTCGGTTCCAAAGTTGCTTGACCCAACCGTTGCCCTCCTGACTTCTTTTCATTTTTCCATTCACGAATTCGCAATTCCTCGCAATTCTTATGCTTTCCCTCTTTAAAAGATCATTTGTTGACGTTTTCGCGTCGATTTGCGTCCATCTTTACGCCCATTATCTCGATGTGACAAGCGAACGAAGGCGAATCCACTGTCTTGTTACAGATCTTTGAAAATCCGCCCACTTTTACGCCAATTTCGCTACTTTGTCAGCTTTACCCCTTGCTAGACGCTTTTTTCCTCGGTCCACACAGGCAGTTAGTAAAGCTCGAGCTGAGGGAGCCGTTAAAAGCCGTAAATCGCATTAAAGCTTGTAGTAATGTACTAATTAATGAGTATAATAGTCCAAAATTAATGTTCATGATACTTTAAAATACCTCCAAAAGCTCCCTAGGCTCCCTGGGGCCCCGGACCCTCAGCTCCAGCTTTACTAAATGCCGTCTACGCACGTCCTCAGCGCCTACAAAACCAATCGTTCATTTTTAGAACGACTTTTAGTAAAAAAACCTAAAAAACCTTATCCGACCGCAATTCTTCGCCGGCGGCTCGCCACCAAAACGCGCCTATGCACGGCGCGGTGGCGTGGATTTGCGTGATTACGGTGGTCTAAGCAGTCGTCTCCCATTTTTCCTGATTTTTCGCCTTTTGCCGGGTATCAATCGGCGTCCTATTTACTGAAGTAATGGCTTATACCGCTTCGTATCTGCGTGCGATTCTTAGCGCCGTTCCTTTCTCACGCGCTATAATTCTCATAACCTCGATCCCCGCCTGTTTTAACGTAATTAGCACTTCTGCTGATCGAAATTGTCGCTTAGGGCCAAAAGTTTTTATCTATCTCTCTTTTGAAGTGATGCCTATTACCGCCTCGTAACTGCGTTCAATTCTTAGTGCCGTTCCTTTCTTCGCATTACCACGCGCTATAATCCTCACAAGTTCCCATCAGCACGGTCGCCTAGCCCAACCGCCCCACGTCCGCCATCATTTACAGGTATAATCGCGCCTTGTTGCTCCACCCATTGCTGCTTAGTCACCCAGGAATTTGGGCCCTTCCTGCCGCTCGCGGGACGTTTCTTCGATTTTTCCCCTTTTACCCCCCTCGATTCCCTTATCTGTGAGCGGACAATGTCATCAGGACCTTGATTTGGTGCCCGAATTCCACATTTCTGGCCTTTTTTTACTTTGCTGCGCTTCTAGACGATTTTTCTCTGCAAAACTCTTCCGCGGCTTCCTCCGAGTTTGACCAATTGCTGCAGCTGTATTGTTGCATCAGTGACCGCATCGAAATATGCAGGTTACGGTCCGAACTCGAGGACATCCCTTTTTCTGCCTGCGTACCTGTTGCATTCTGCCTAATTTTTCTTTTTTTTTCAGAAGCAATGAAAGGTGTCCGCATCTCTCGCGGCCCAGCAGCTCCGACAAGCAGCGGCAGCCTCGGAAAAGCGCCGGATCCGCAGGTGCTATATTATGGGTTTAATTTTTGGGCAATTCGCAAATGTCGCGTGGTTGGCACGCTTTTATTTATATCGACATCCGTCTACGTTATCTACAGTTTATTTCTATATCCATAGAAATACAAGCGTGCGGACCGGGCGACATTTGTTGGCCGCCAATTTTTGCCTCACTCGGTCACCCCTGCATCGCATTTAATTTCAGCAAATTTTGTTTATTTTCGAGGCCGCCGAAATTTTGGAAGAGGTTTTGATTTGCGGAATGCGTACGGTTTCCCCTCTAATAACCGAATGCATGCTACTTTCCCCCAAGGTCGTTTGGAATTTTTCAGCCAAATTAGACATACGATCTCATGAGCTCATTTCCCTTAACCTAAATTTGACAGTCCTAGACATAACTTAACCCTAACTGTTGGGCGCCCAAATGGTGGCGTTTCAACTCTGGTTTCTTCTAATTTTTTACGTTTCAGGAAGACGACTTCATGGATTTCGAGAAGACGCGAATCAAGCAGCTCCAGCACGAGAGGGTCGGCATCCAGAAGAAAACTTTCTCGAAATGGTGCAACTCCTTCCTCAATCGGGTATATTTCTTTTAAATTATTGGCTTGCCTAGAATTCACCCCTTGGTTCTCCCATTCATCCTACTTCTTCTAAATAGCAAGATTTCACTCTTCCATCGATGCGCGCGTTCCCTGCTGAAATCTTACCACGTAGCCAACAGTCTCTTCCCGATCCATCGGTTGCCCATGTTCACCCCTGGGCGCATATAGTCAGGCCCGAGATTCGGCCGTGTGTTCCGATTGGGTTGCGCGATATGATCTGCGGGCTGGGCTCGCGGAGGTCGAATATCTAGCGAGAGCGCCCTGCTAGACGCATAACCTTCTTTTGACCCCCAATGCGGGGGGATGGAGACGAAGACGGACCCGTACACACATGACGCGTTCCTCGCTGCGACGATTGTGGGGGCTGTCGGAAGTACAATAAATTGATGGGCCTGGGAAATAGCAGTTTGGTATAAATTGGGTTGAGTTTTGGGCTTTTTTTATCTTGGATATCACGAAAATTGTCGGACTGTGCAAGAAAAGCTAAAAAACCATGCGCAGCCAACTTAACCGACGACTTCGGCGCTTTACTTTAGCCGAATTCCGCCGCTAATGCTCAGCCCACATGGCTCGAAAGCGCGTCTCCTTTTTTTAACATCCTGGTACTCGGTCTGCTCTTTTCCCCCTTATTGTCGGCCCTCGGCTGCTCGGATCAGTGCTGGCTTATCGCTTTGAAACAAGAACGCGCCGGCGGTACCCACCAAAAAAGTGTCCGGATTCGCCGGCCTAGACCCAATTCCATGCTTTTTTCGGGGGGCTGTGGATCGGTGAATTTCACCAATCTATCCGTCGTATCGGCTTGAAAAGCCTATAAGTTACCGGGAAATGGTAAAGGTTGAAAGAAATTCGGTCAATAAATAAATTTGCTAATCCGCCCCCGCATTTGAGTCACAATGGCTGATTGACAGTGCCGCCCTTATCATTGGCCACTAACCGCGCGCCAGACCCTGGTTTTGCTTGAGAATTATGGCCCGCTATAATGGCGTCAAATTTGCTCCAGCTAAAAGCCCGTCAATCGATTTGACCCCGCGCAGCAGGGAAACGGACCGGCGAATGGGCCGGTGCAGGCTATTGTCGGCGCGGCGGTCAGTATGGGGCTGCTTGCTGGCCCTCTCATCGTAAAACGAGGCGCGCGCCCCTACAAGAACCATTGAGGAACACATTTTTGCGGCGAAGTGGCTCCTCCTGCCCCTTTTGCGTGTCTTTGTATGTTTGTGCGCTGAAATCCGGCGGATCCCCGCGCGCGGCGCCTTTGATCGGGGGACTCGATAAATTTTTCCGCCGCGTCTTGGTCATCAAGGTTAATAGGATTTTTGGGAAAGTGTGCATAAATGAATCTTTGCAAAAATGCATTTTACGGCCGCTCCCTGAAATATAGCTCACAATACCGCCGTTGGCACGACGCTTATCAGTCCGGTCCGGGGAGGAATTCAGCCGTAAAACATGTTTTTAATAAGGTTTACGCAAAAGATAAGGCCCCCCCCCCCCCCCCCCCCCCCCCCCCCCCCCCCCTCCCCTTTTCATTGCCGGGGCCCCCCCCTTTCCCTTTTTTTTTTTTTTTTAATTTTTTTTTTTTTTTTTCCTTTTTTTTTTTTTTTTTTTTATTTAATTCCCTTTCTACCAAACCATTTAAAAAATTAATTTAAATATATAATAATCAAGGCGGTTTTTTTTTTGTTTTTAATTTTTAATTTTTTGGTTGTTGGGTTTTTCTTTTTTTTTTTTTTTTTTTCAATTCTTAAATTTTTCTTTTTTTTTTTTTTTTTTTTTTTTTTTTTTTTTTTTTTTATTATTTTTTAAATTTTTCTCCCCCCCCCCCCCCCCTCCCCTTTTCTCTCTTTTCCCCCCCCCGCCCTTCGCTGTTTTTGTTTTTTTTTTGGTGTGTCCCCGGGCTAGCGGGTTGGCGAGAAATTTCGGAGTAAATGGGTGAAAAACCAAGGATGTTGAGATTTGGGGTCCCGAACATGAAACAGTGATGATTTCCGTACAGGCGATGAAAGAAAGTGATTGGCGGACGACGAAATTATATTTTTGATTTCAGGCGAGGCTGGAAGTCGGTGATTTATTCAAGGATCTCGATGATGGAGTGCTTCTCATGAAGTTGCTCGAGATCATTTCTGGAGAGAAGGTCTGGCAAATGAATCTTTTGAACATTTGTTCTTTAGCTGGGCAAGCCGAACAAGGGTCGTATGCGTGTGCAGAAGATTGAGAATCTGAACAAGGTCCTCGACTTTTTGAAGAAGAAGAAAATTCAGGTATGGCTGCCCGAAATTCCCAAATTTCCTTCTTTTTAGCTCGAAAACATCGGAGCTGAAGACATTCTCGACGGCAACGAACGATTGATTCTGGGCCTCATCTGGACCATCATCTTGCGTTTCCAAATCGACACTATCGTCATTGATGCGGTGAGTTTTAGAGGTCGCAAGGGTTCTATAATATTAGAAAAGCGAAGCCGGTACAAAACGTCAAATTCCTTTTTTTAGGACGAACAAGAGACCGGCGAACGGAAGCACGCCAAGGATGCTCTACTTCTTTGGTGCCAGCGCAAGACAGCCGGCTACAGAAACGTTAAGGTAAGATCTTTACAGAAATTCAAATCATTTAGCAGGTGGAAAACTTCACGAGCTCGTGGCGCAGCGGGCTGGCGTTCAACGCTCTCATCCACGCTCATCGTCCGGATCTGCTTCACTACGACGGGCTGAACCCGCAGGACCATATGGGCAACTTGAACAACGCGTTCGACATTGCCGAAAAGAAGCTGGATATCGCCAGGTATTGCATTGTCAAGTTTCGCTGCTGCTGCTTCCTTGTTTGCGGGGGAATTATCTTTAAAATCCGGCATTTTGGCCAAAGATTTTCCAAATTTTTGTCGTGTTGCAACTTAGTCTGTATTCGAAAACCGTGTGAAATGCTAAAAACTTAGGTAAAAATTTCAATTTTTGCTCGACGGCCCTTCCCGGAAAAATTCTTACCTTGGTCCCCCCGCTAACAAGGAAGAATCGCTTCGCTCTCACTTGCTTGTAGCGGCTATTTTACTTTTAAATGTGTAACCATTTATAGGCTGCTGGACGCTGAAGACGTTGACGTGGGCCGACCCGACGAAAAGTCGATCATCACGTACGTCTCGCTCTACTACCATCATTTCGCCAAGCAGAAGACCGAGATGACCGGTGCCAAGCGCGTTGCCAATGTAAGCTTTTCGCCGCTGTTTCTATTGCTTTTTATAGATCGTTGGCAAGCTGATGACGCAAGAGCAGATGGAAGACGAATACCAAGGCATCGCCAGCGATCTGCTCGAGTGGATCAAGGTATACTTGTTTGCTTTTGGCCTTCAATTCGTTTTTGTTTAGCAAACGATTGCTATGTTGAACAACCGCCGATTCCCGAATTCGCTGAAGGGCATCCAAGAAGAGATGGTCCGCTTCAACCAGTTCCGCAACATCGAGAAGCCGCCCAAGTACAAGGAGAAGGGAGACCTCGAGGCGCTGTTCTTCAACATCCAGACCAAGAGGAAAGCCATGGGCATGAGTCCCTTCGTTCCACAGCACGGTAATCTTTGCGGAATGGCTACCAATATTGTTTTAGGCCTTTTCATGAAAGACCTGGAGACGGCCTGGGATCGATTGGACAGCGCCGAAAACGAGCGCCAGACGGCGATCATCAACGAGATGCTGCGACTCCAGAAGCTCGAGCAGTTGGCTGAACGTTTCTACCGCAAGGCCGAGCTGCGCGATCACTGGCTGAGGGACATGGGTAAGGATTTCTCCTTTCGGCTAGACTGAAATGTTTGAAATGGCCAATAAATCGTTGACTTTCATATGTTTGTCGCTCTTCATTTGCTAAACAACATGTTTAGGTGGTCATCTCGACGAACTTGAGCTCGGACGCACGGCCAGCGACGTCGAGGCGGCGCTCAAGAAACATCAGGCTATCAGCGCCGACATTCTACCCCGTGAGGAGCGCTTCCGCATCTTGACGCGCATCTGCGGCGAGCTCTCCGCCGGCAACTACCACGAAGCCGACCGCGTGCGTGCAAGGTATTTTTGTTTTTTTGGCACTTGAAAATATGATATTTTAGGGATCGTGAAATCGCCGAGAAATGGGCGCATCTGCTGTCCGTGCTCGAGGCCAAGCGCAAGCAAATTATGGGCTTGAACGACCTGATGGGCCTTTTACGCGACATCGACACGTTGAGCAGCGAGCTGAAGCATCTTGAGGTAATCATATTTTGTTGAAATAAATCAGCTCGTTTGCATTTGCTTTACGTTTTTTTTATTAATCCACGGTTTTCAGCCAGTGGCTCGTAATCGCGACGTTGGCAAGCACATCCTCGGCGTCGACGATCTGATTGGCCGCCACGAACTGGTCGAGGGTCAAGTGAAGGCGCACGGTGCCTGGCTCGACAACGTCTCCCGCCAAGCCCAACTCTACATCCGCGGCAAGGGCGAGCAGCACGAGATCCTCCAGCGGAAGCTCGAAGACGTCAATGCGCAATACGAGAACCTACGAGCACTCTGCCAGCAGCGCCGGAATGCCTTGCACAAGGCGCGCGAACTGTTCCAGTTCATTCAGGTACGTTCGTTAAACTTTTCTTGTATAATTGATGTAATTTTAGGATCACGAGGAGGAGATGACGTGGCTGGCCGAGAAGGAGTCGCTATGCCTGAACGCACTTCAGAAGGGCGACATCGCGAATGTGGCCAACATTTCCCGCCTCCACAAGACCATCGAATCGGAGATGAAAGCGCATTGGACACGCACCAAGGAGATCATGGCCGCCGGCGAGCAGCTGGCGATGGGCGGGCAAAGCCGAGATGACGTCCAACGCCGCATCCAGCAGATCCAACACCGCTGGGAATCCCTGCGAAAGGTCGTCGACGATTTGTCGAACTGGCTGCAGGAGGCCGAACGTGCGCAGCAATATTTCCAGGTTTGTGTCTTTCAAAATGCTGCTTTATTGAATACAAGGTGATAGTTGTTTTTCTCGCAATTCAAAAATTGTTTTCAGGACGCCAACGAGGCCGAGTCTTGGATCCGCGAGAAGTTGCCGCTCGTCAAGTCCGACGACTATGGCAAGGACGAAGGCCAGGCCGAAAGCCTCCTCCAACGCCACAACCGGCTCGAGGAGCAGATTCACGCTTTCCGGTAACACTTTTTGCCGCGTCTTTTTAATTTTCTTTTAGTTCGGACATTATTCGCCTGGAGGAATCTGCTTCGCAGATCGCCAGCACCAACTTGATGACCGGTATCCATGCGGCCGAAGTGGACACTGAAGAAACCGTCGTTCCACAGGTATACTTTTTTATTACGTGATTGCAATGGTTTAATAGAAGGTCGATGACGTAGGCAAAGAGGAAAAGGTGGCGCTTGTTTGTAAAGGGGGTTTCTGTCAAGAAATGCATGCTTTTTTCCTGGCAAACTTTTCAAATGACTTTTTCGGTGTTTTCCGAGGATGCTATTCGGCTGTAGCCAGAGTTTTGATCTTCCAATCCAATCTTTCTTCCTTTAGGTCGAGATGCTGTACAAGTACTCTGGCAACGGGATGGAGGTCAAGAAAGAGGAGATCGTCGCCCTCATCGACAAGTCGAACCCGGACTGGTGGTGTGTGCTGAAACAGAATGGAAAGGAGGGATATGTGCCGGCTACTTACTGCCGACTGATCCCCGGCGAAACTGTCACCATCGCCCAGACAACGGCCACTTCTTCTACCAAGTCTCACCGCGGAGAGCCGGCCGACGGCAGGAACGACATCCTGGCTCGCCAGCAAGCCATCAGCATGGGCTACCGCAACTTGAACAAGCTCGCCGAAGTCAGGAAACGGCTGCTCAGCGACAACATCAAGCTGATGCGCTTCTTCCGTGAATGCGACGAATTCGAGACGTGCGTTTTGCTTTGAATTCTTTGCCTGTTCTTTAGTATTTCTGGGCGATCTACACTTTTGCTTATATATCCAGTTTTGCCTAGCAACGTCATAGCAAGTTTTTAATGCCTTTTTAGTCGGCATTTGAAGTGGAAAACGATTAGAAAACTTAAAAACTGTAAGCTATTTGACATTCCGGTGAAAAATCGATATTTTAAGTTCGAATAGATTTTTTCTAGGCTTTTTACGTTTTGGAATAGTAAAAAAATTAGAATCGAAATTGGATCCCTGGTACAAAATTCAGACCCCGTCACGGAAATGCTAAAGAACCATTTTATTTGTATTTATTTATGATTGGCGCCTTTATAACCTTTTTTTTAGTTGGGCTCAGGACACGATGAACGTGCTCTCGGACGAGCCCTCTGTTGAACACATTGAGGCGTTCCGCAAGAAGCTCGACAAGCTCGAGCACGACATCGCCGCGAATGGAGGCACCCAGCTGAGGCGAATCAACGGCATGGCCGATGAGCTGACCGCCGAGGGGCACAGCGAGACGCGCCAAATCGTCGCCCGCCAGCAGGCCGTCAACAAGCTGTGGGCCCACATCGAACAACTGTTCCGCAACAAAACGGCTCGTGTGCAGACGCTCGAGCAGCTCGCCGACTTCAATGCCAACTGCGCCGATGCGGAGAGCTGGATGAAGGCCAAGTTCGATCTGATCGACCGCAAGCCCCAGGATCTCAAGTCGTTGCAGAATTTGGAGCGCGACTTGAAGCCTTTGGAGGACAAGATCCGGGTGGGTTTTTCTTCCTTTCTCCCTTTAGTTTTGAGTGTTTTTCGTTTTGAAGATACCGAGTTAAACTTTTATTTTTAGTCTCTCGAAGAGCTGGCGGAGCGCGTCAAGAAGTCAAACCCGGAAATGGCCGCCGTCATCCAAAAGAAGATCAACGAGCTGCGCGGGATGTACGCCGACCTGCTCAGCCAAGCCCGCCAAAAGATCCAGCTGGCCGAAGAGACGCAAGGTATCGGCTTGACCCTGTTGCAATTAGCAGTTTCTTTAGGCCAGGAAATGTTCGATGGAGCGCTCGCGGAAATGCACGCGTGGATCGAAAAGACGAAGAAGACGCTCTCGGACATGGAACGGCCCGTCGACGTGCAGACCGCCGAGGACATGCTCAAGAAGCACGTCGAATTGGGCGAACAAATCAAGGTATAGAACCGTCGAAAGTTTACGTAATCGTTCTTAGGACAAGAAATACGCCGTCGAATATGTCCAAGAGCTCGGCCGGCGTCTGCTCGTCAAGAACCCGAAGCTGAACGTGGTCAAGGAGAAGCTCGAACAACTCCAGTACGCCATGGCCGAGATTGCGAACATTTGGAAGTCGAAGGTATTAATCCGGCAATTGTTATTGAATCCTTGTTTTTTTTAGCATGCACACCTCAAGCAGCAGCTCGACCTACAGTTGTACAATCGCGAGGCCGAGCGCATCGATGCGGCCACCAAGGGCCATGAAGCTTTCCTTGATTTTAAGGTAGCCGGTGTTTCTTAAATCACACAATTACCATCTAGGACCTGGGTGATTCCGTCGACTCGGTTGAGAACCTCTTGAAGCGCCATCGCGATTTGGAGGCCAAGCTGGATGCGCAAGAGGCTCGTCTCGATGCTTTCAGCAAGAACGCCGACGAGCTGATCCGGTTAAAGCACGCGGACAGCACATACATCCATGATGTAACTTTTTATTTATTTGCTAAGCTTATGATTCATTTCTAGCGCCGAAACGAGGTTCTGGCAAGACGTGAAGCTGTCCGTCGCGCCGCCTCCAAGCGCCGTGCCCAGCTCGAGGCCTCCCTGGAATACCAGAACTTGCGCCGTGACGGAGACGAGATGCTCCAGTGGATCGGCGACAAGAAGAAGGTGGCGCTCGACGACACCCACCTCGACCTGCACACGATCGACATCAAGCTGCTCAAGCACGAGGCTTTCGAGGCAGAGATCAAGGCCAACACGCAGCGCGTCGAAAACATCAACAAGGTCTGTTTTTGTGTTCGTCTGCCATCCCGGGCAATTCCGAATTTAAAAAATTTGATTTTTCAGGATGGCGCAATGCTCGTTTCTCGCCACCACTACGAATCGCCGAACATCCAGAAGCTCGTCGAGCGCGTTAACAAGTCGTGGGCCGAGCTCAAAGACGCCGCCGCGCGCAAGGGCGAAAAGCTGAAGCAGGCCGCCGACCAAAAGGTATAACGTTCTTCAGTCACATTATTGCCGTCTCTAGAATCTCAACCGCATCTTGGATGACGCGAACGCCAAGCTCGACGAGATCGACGAGTCGCTGCGAAATAAAGACGTCGGCAACGACCTGCGCGGCGTCAAGGAGCTCCTCCAGAAGCACACGACCGTTGAGCAGGAAATGCACCTCTACGAGAACAAGGTATGGCGCTTTGTCCACTTTTCAAAAAAATTGCGTTTAGTTGACGGAGATCTCGCGCCGTGGCAATGTGATGGCTGGCGAAGGCCATTTCGATGCGGCTCGAATCATTTCTACCGTCAAGAGCCTCCTCCACCGCTTTGAGCAGTTGACCGGCCCTTGCTCAGCACGTCGTACGGCGCTCGAGGAATCCCTGAAGTGGCACCAACTCGCCTTTGACGTCGACTGCGAGCTCCAATGGATTGCCGAAAAGGAGCCGCTGGCCGCTTCCGAAGATACGGGCCGCACCCTGACCGAGGCGCTGAACGTCTTGAAGAAGCACGAGCAGCTCGAGGCCGAGGTCAATCAGCATAGCCGCCACATCGAGGGCACCATCCATCGTGGTGACGACCTCATCAAGGGACATCACGCAGCACAGGCTGACATCAAGGCAAAGTGTGATCAACTGGCCGGCGCCTGGGCTCATCTACAGCAGCTCGTTCGTCGCCGCAAGCGCATCGTCGACTGGGGTGTGAAGGAGCAGCAATACATGTTTGACGCTGCCGAGGTATGAACTGCTTAATTGTCAAAAATTAGTTTTTAGGTCGAGTCGTGGATGGCGGAGAAGCGGATCCTGATCGAATCCCAGGATTACGGACAAGACGAAGACGCTGCACAGAAGCTTCTCGCCCGGCACAAGGCTCTGCAAAACGACATGAACACTTACAAGTAGGCGTCCCCATCCACTTCTCACTCAACTCTTTTTTTTCCAGACAATGGGTCGAGCGTCTGGCTGTGAAGTGCGCCGAGTTGGTCGACTCTCATCGGCCCCACGTCGACCGCTTCTCCAACAAGCAACGCGACCTTGAGGCCGAATTCGATCGTCTTTCCGAGCTGGCCGATAAACGTCGCGCGCTGCTGGAAGACACGCTCTGCTTGCACGAATACCTGAGGTGTGTTTTCTTTTAATTCTTTATTGTCCGGGGCATTTAGCCGATATTGGTTTCTCAAATTTATCTTTTTCAGGGAAAGCGCCGAGCTGGAGCAGTGGATAAACGAGCAGCTGCAGACGGCGATGAGCGAAGAATACGGCGATGACTACGACCATTTGATGGACCTGCAGACGCGCTTCGAAAACTTCCGCACCTCGGTCAAGTCGGGTAGCGAGCGATTCATCTCCTGCGAGCAAGCGGCCAACTCTATTCTTCGTCGCAACACGCCGTTTGCCCGGGATGTGTTGAAGAGGCAAGAACGACTCAGGACGGTAATTTTCTTCTTTATTTCGATGAGACCCTTTTTTTAGGTCTGGCACCTCCTCGTCGAATACATGGAATCTCGTGAGCAGAAGCTGATGGCGGCCGAAGAACTCCATCGCTTCAACCGCGACGTCGCCGAGCATGAGCAGCGCGTCGCTGAAAAGCTGAGCAACATGCCAACGGAGCTTGGCCGTGACGTGAAGCAAGTGCATTCGCTCTGGCAAGCCCACGAAACTTTCGAGAAGCAGCTGGTCGATATGAAGGTACTATATATAATTTTTTATGTTGTTAGTACAATGCGTTGCTTGCTAACGACGCTTCACGCACATAATAAATTAATTAATTTCAGGCTCGCCTCGACCATTTGCTGCAAGAAAGCGCTCGTCTGAAGGAAGCTTACCCTGGCGGCAATGCCGACCACATCTCCCAGCAGCAAATCGCGCTCACCGAGGGCTGGCAAGAGCTCGAAGAGGCGACGTTGAACCGAAAGGACCGCTTGCGCGCTGCCTACGACTTCCATCGCTTTTTGGGAGAGGTGAGCGGCTAATTTCAGTAAACTTGTTCTCAAGCTTTCAATGAAAATGGCTATATCAACTTTTTCAGGTCCGGGATCTTCTTTCCTGGTGCGACCTGATGGTGGCCGACATGCAAACTGAGCAACAACTCCACGACCTCCAGGGCGCGCAGTGGCTGAAGGAAGAGCACTCGCGGCTCCAGTCTGAGATCGAGGCCCGCGCTCCCGAATTTGCCAAGCTCGACGGAACGGGCCGAAAGATGATTGCGGCCGAGCACTACGCCAGCGACGAGATCCGTGCTCGTCTGCAACAAGTCGAGCGGGCCTATCAGCAGCTGAAAAGCGAATGGAAGTTGCGCGAATCCTACCTGTCGCAAGTCGTCCAATGGCACGCGTTGCAGCGTGAAGCCAAGCAGATCATGGCCACCATCCAAAGCAAGCGCAACACCCTCAAGCAGTTGGCGATTGGCGGAACCGTGGATGAGGTAAGCCGGACATTTTGGAGTCGCTTTTACAAGTTATGTGTTTCAAAAAAATGTTATTTTTAGGTGGAGGCCCAACAAAAGCGCCTGGAGACGTTCGCGAAGGCCCTTGTCACCCTTGACGGCCGTATCGACACCCTCGACAAGAACTCGCGCTCCCTGATCGACGGCAAGCACTTCGAGTCGGCCAACATCGAGACCTGGCGCCAGAAAGTGCATGAGGCGTTGGCCACGCTGAAAAGCGAGGTTGCCCAGCGACGCCGTGAGCTCGATGGTGCGCTGGAAGAGGCCAAGTTCGGCGGTGACGTTCGCGACATGGAGAGTTGGATCTCCGAAAAGATTCAAGCTATTCGCATCGAAACGGAACGGTGAGGGCTTTTTGCAATACTTGCTTTTTCCATCGAAGAAATTCGGAGTTTGCTCAACGTTCTTTTTCAGCCAAGGCCAATGTACAACGATCGAGGACAAGATGAAACGACTCCAACGCCACCAGGCCTTCGAAGGAGAGCTGGATGCGAACCGTGGCCGCGTCGAAACGATCCTGAAACGAGGCGCACAGCTCCAACGCGGCCGGAATGGGCCCATGGTTGGCGAGCAGTGCAACCGTTTGTCGCAGCGCTGGCGTGAGCTCGAATCGGCGTGCACCGAACAATCGCGTGCCCTGGAGGAAGCCCGAGATTTGCTGAGGTAGCGCATTGAATTTTGGCATTTGACCTATTGTCGGATTTTAGGTTCAAACAACTCGTTGATCGGGTCTTACAATGGATTCGCGAGCGGGAGAGCATGGTACATGCTGGCGACATGGGCAACGACCTCGAGCATTGCAATCTGCTGATCGACCAGTGGGTTTAACTTTTCATAGTTTTTTTGCCTGGGCTGCTGTTGTGTGGGCGACCACTGAGGATATCTGTAGAATCCTCAGACCAGAAAGACCAGAAATCTTATTGTGAAGAATTTTGATTTTTACCGATTGTTTTCTGCCAATTTTTCATTAGCATTTGATCCGGAGAGCGGATTGATTTGCCTAATATTTAAGCGCAAACTGAGTGGGTTTAAAAATCTTTTGGCGCACTTTTAACCACATTATTTTAGACTGGACGGCACCAGCGCGGACAACTCTGTCGACGAGAACACCTTGCAAGAGATCAACGAACTCGGCGACAAGCTCGTACGCCAGGGCAGGAGCAGCCAGAAAGAGGTGCGAATAGTCTAAATACTCTAACTTTCTTTCATTTCCAGGTGCACGAGCAGAAGACGATCATCAACCAGAGTTGGCAAGCGCTCCAGTCCGACATTCGCGCCTATCGTCAGCAGTTGAAGGCGGCCCTCGAGGTGCACGGCTTCAACAGGGACATCGAAGACACCAATGAGCGTATCCACGAGAAGATTGTCGCCGTAAAGAGCGACGACTTTGGAAGGTAGTTTCAAATTATTGCGGCGGGTAATATTTTTTTAGGGACTTTGCCAGCGTCGATCAGCTTATGCGAAAACAGCATGCGCTTGAAAGGGACATGGAGGTCATCCATGCCAAGCTCGCCGCCCACGACCAAGAGGCGCAGACCATCCTCGCCAAGAAGCCACCGCTCAAGGTGGGTTTTACTTTCCTGAATTATCGTTCTTGTCCTGAAGCCACAACCTCCAAATTCGAATTTTTTAGGAAACTATTCTGAACTCGCTGCAACGCCTCGAGCAAAGCTGGAAGGAGCTCTCCGACTCGGCCGAGCAGCGGCACGCCAAGCTGGAGCGCTCTCATCAACTTTACAAGTATTTCGACTCGGTGAAGAAAGCCGACCAATGGGCGTCGAACCTGCGCACGAAGATGACTTCGCACAAGCCGCCCAAGACCACGACTGAGGCCCGTCTTCTCATCCAGCAACATCAAGAACGGTTCGTTCGCTTTTTTTTGGGAATCATCTTGTGGTTCAAACGGGAAATAACGTGCTAGCTCCGGTTTTCAACGCGTTTTTTTAGCAAAGCGGAAATCGACGGTCGCCAAGTCGAGATCCGAGTGCTACACGAAGAGGGACAACGCCTGATCGCCGAGCAGCCAGAGCACAAAGGAGAAGTTCAACGTGCCCACAAGCGAGTGCAAAACAGCGAGCATCAACTCCGGCAAACATGGGAGCAAGAGAAGGTCGGTTACTGTCATTCGTGCAAAACGACTCGTTTAGGCGTCTCTGGCTCGAGCTCTCGACTGGCTCTTGTACTCTGATCAATGCGGACTCGTCGAAGCGTGGCTGGCAAGCAAAGAAGCTGTACTAAAGGATCACGACCTCGGCGACAATTTGGAGGCTGTGCAGGTATTGATTTTTCGCTGCTGATCACAAAATGGCGTTTAGATGTTGATCAAGAAACACGACGCCTTCGAAGAGACTGTCAAGACTCAGTCTGACAAAATCGAATCGGTGAAGAAGGACGCCGACGCCCTGCTGTCCCATGGCAACGACTATTCGGTCCAAATCGAAGAAAGGTGAGCGTTTGGGAAATTAAGGACTTCTGGTTATGGGAATTTTTTAGAAAACGCGATCTCCGCCCTCGGTATGAAAATAGGGAATGGCATGAGCTTTTTCAAAATTCCCCCGGGCTGTCCTGACTAATACTTTTCCGATTCTAAAAACCTTGTTTTGCCTTGGCATATGTATAACAATGTCCTTTTGCAGACGTGATGAGGTCGTGGCTCGCTACAATGCTCTGCTCCAACAATCGGCCCACCGGCGGACGATGCTGCTCGACAGCCAGAAACTGCTCGACTTTGTGCGGTCTTGCGGCGAGCTGATCACTTGGATCAACGCCAAGCTTCAACTGGCCTACGACGAAAGCTACCTGGATCCGGCCAACCTTCGCTCCAAGCTCCAAAAACATCTGGCATTCGACAGCGAGCTGGCCGAGAACGAGAAACGCCTCAACTTTGTCGTCAACGAGGGCAACAAGCTGATCAAGGAGAACCACTTCTCGAAGCAAGAGGTCGAAGCTCAGCTGTCCGAGCTGAAGGGAGGCTGGGAGGAGCTGAGGAACAAGAGCGCTTTGAAGACGCAACGCCTGCGCGAAGCCTACGATGCTTTCACGCTGGCAAGGAAGGTGGATGACGTTGAAAGGTAAGCTTTGGAAAATTTTTCGACTGCCTAAAATCAATTTATTGCTCTATGACATCTTTTACAGGTGGCTCGACCACATCGAAGGCGGGCTTGCATCGGAAGATCACGGAAAGGACGTCCACTCCGTCGAGCACCTTGTCAAGAAGCTCGATGCCACGCAGGCGGAAGTCGCTGGCCGCAGCGACCACGTTGCCGAAGTGATGACGAAGGCCCGAGAGCTGAAATCGAAGAGCGCCACCGACACGGCCGAATTGCTGAAGTCTGCCGAACAAGTCGAACTGCGGTACGCGCAACTCGGCGAGCCGATCAAGATCCGGCGCGAGAACCTGCTCGACGCCAAGAAGCTGTTCGAGTGGGAGGCCGAGGCGCAAGAGGAGACTGAATGGATGCACGACCGGATGCCGCTCGTCCGAAGCGCCGATTTTGGGGACAGCCTCCACTCGGCCGAGCATCTCAGCAAGAAGCACGCACTTTTGGAAGCGGTACATACAGTCGAAAATTTTTTAAAATATTGTTCAGGAATTGGACACTCGTCACGCCTCTCTCAACGAGGTCGAGCGCAAGGGCCTCGAGATGGTGCGTGCCCGACATTTTGCCAGCACCCAGATTGAGCGCCGCGTCGACGAGTTGATGGGTACGATGTTGCAGCTAAAGGTATATTTCATCTGCCTTTTGTATTCGTGTTTTCCAATAAATGTTCGAATATAACGACGTTTTTTCAGGAACTGTCGATCACCAGACGCCGCAAGCTTGATGCGGCGGTGATTTCGCAAAAGTACTTTGCCGACCTGGGCGATGCTGAACAGTGGATCCGCGACCGGATGCCGTTGACGAACAGCCAGGACAGCAGCAAGGACCAAGCGGCAGCCGAGTCGCAGCTGCGCCGCCTTGGATTGCTGGAGAAGGAGGCGATCAAATTCCGCGAGGAAATTGACCGGTTGAAGGCGACGGCTGACCGACTTGTGCACGACGACCACCACGACACGACGCAGATTGCCGCGCGGCAAAACCGGCTCGAGGGCTCGTACGCGGAGCTGATCCGCGCCATCGGTGTCCGCAAGACGCATCTGGCCGACTCGAGCCGATACCACGCCTACGTTCGCCAGGCCGACGATCTGATGGACTGGCTGCATGAGAAGGAACGCGCTGCCGCAGCCGACGAGTACGGCCGTGACCTCGAGGAGTGTCAGAGGTTGATCGAAGAGTTCGACACTGTCGTCAGGGAACTGGCGGCCGCTGGCGAGCGTGTGGCTAGTGTCAATCGCACGCAAGAAGAGCTCCTCAGGACCGGACATCCGTTTGGTACGTAAATTCGGGGTTTGATTCCTCTGGGCTTTGGACGCTGGAATATAGACTCACACACGGAAGGAATAATTTTCTGGTTTTAGGTGCCTCGATCCGTGCCAAGGGCGACGATCTCTCTCGACTTTGGCAAGGCGTCAACGAGAGCGCCAATGAGCGTCAACAAGCCCTCACCGGTGCCAAGCAAGTGCATCGCTTCGACCAAGAGGCCGACGAGACGATCAACTGGCTGCAAGAGAAGGAAGCCGATGGTGTTGCCCTGGAGAACGTCGACCTGACCGGCGCCGACCTGAACACGCTGACCAGCGAGCGGCAGCGCCTCGAAGAGTTCATCCACGGGCTGACGGCCGTGGAGAAACAGGTAGCTTTATGTCAACTTTCGGCTATTTTCTTTGCTGTTTAGGTGACCGAGCTGTGCCGGGAGGCTGATCGTCTCGAGAGCCTCTACCCCGCGACCAAGGACCACTTGCTTGGCCGGAAGATGGACATGAACATGCTACTCAACGACATCACCGAGAGCGCCAACAAGCACCGCGAGCGGCTTAGCCACACCGAGCAGCTGCAAGCCTACTTCCAAGTATGACCAGCTAAAAACATTGGTTTATTGAGAGCTGTTTTTAGGAACACCGAGAGCTCATCTCGTGGATCAAGCGTCTTTTTACAACAATCACCGCCGAGACGCTCCCGAAAGACGTACACGCTTGCGAGGCTTTGGCCAACCGGTACTTTTGGCTTTTACGCATTCAACTCGTTTTAGACACAATGAGTATCATTCGGAGATGATCGGCCGCAAAGGACACATCGATTCGTTCTGCAACCGAGGGCGATCGCTCGTTCAACAGGGCCATGTCCTTTCCCAAGAGATCCAGCGCAAGGTCGAACAGCTCGAGCGTGCTTACCATGGCGTCGAAAGCGTGGGTTCTCCCTTTCTTGCGCATGTGATTAGATTTTAGGTGTGGAACGAACGAAACGAGCTCTACGTCGAGAACATGGACGTGCAGCAGTGGAAGGCCAACGCGAACACGCTGGAACAATGGATGACGGAAAGGGAGAACCTCCTCGGCGACGATTGGAAGTATGTCGATTCGGTGGCCACCGCCGACGAGCGGCTTCGCGACTTTGACGACTTCCTGGTGACCGTCGATGCTCAAGGAGAGCGGTGCGAGGGTGTCAAGCGGCAGACGCTGCTTGAAAAGAACTTCTCACGCCAGCTGCAAAGAGAGGTTGTTGTTTTTGTGTGTGAATCCATTACCCCTGTCTTTCTAGGCCGAACGCCGGCTTGACCAAGAGGAAACAACGCGACGGCGCGATACAATCAAGGTCGTCGAGAAGGGCAACCTATTGGCTAACCGAAGGCAAGACCGTGAGAGGAGGAAGACTCAGGTAACTTTTTCCCAAATCATTAAATTTGTGTTTAGGAAATTAGTCTGATGAAGCCGTCGGCCTCTGGTGAAGACTTCGCCTCGCAGACGCTGCCCAGGAAGCTGGATGGCCGACGCGAGCGCAGCAAGACGACGGCTCTTGGTAATTTCCGATTCTTTTGCGCAACGCGTTGTTTAGGTGAGCCGGTGGTCTCGGTTTCTGGGCCCTCGACCTTGCCAATCGTTGGCTCGGCGTCCCATCACGGCGAGTCGTCGACTAGCAGCATGTTGGCGCCCCACCACGAATTGCCGCAATCCCAGATCCATACCGTCACGCCAGGATTCAGGTGAGAGTTTTTTGAGTCGAGGCTTAATCTTATCTTTGTTTAGCACCCGCCGCGGCACTTCCATCCGCCGTTCCAGTGGCCATCGTATGGCTGACGAGCAATCCTCGATTGATATGACTGGGTATATCTCATTTCATAAACACTTACCTTTCTTTTCCAGCTACGTCGACCGCAAACAAGAACTGCAGTCCGGCGGCAAGAAGGCGACGCTCCGATCGTGGAAGAACTACTACACAATCCTGTGTGGCCAGCTGCTGTGCTTCTTCAAGGACGAAGAGGCTTTCATGGGCAACAATGCCGCATCGCCACCGGTCTGCATCTACAACGCCATCTGTCAGCAGTATCCGGAGTACGCGAAGCGCAAGCACGCCTTCAAGTATGTCTTTGAATCTGTTGTGAAATTGGAAGTTTTAGCCTGGTGCGAAGAGCACATATTATCAGGTATCAAAGAAACGGGGGGTTTGGCGCGAGGGAGACTTTTCTGGATGAGAACTGTTTTCATTTTCCATATTTTGTTGCCAACGTTTCAACTTTCCCGGGAAAACCTCGTAACCGCATGTCAACCGAACTAACTGGGCGCGCAATTATTTTTGCCCGCAAAAAATTGCTGTTTTTCAGGCTGATCACGCAGGATGGCGCCGAGTACCTGTTCGCCTGCAGCGAGGAACGACAAATGCTTGAATGGGTCGCTAAGGTATCTTTTCTTCGCGATTAGCGGGTTTTTTATAGCGCAAGGATCGGCTTTTTAAAAATGTCTTTTTCAGATCAAATTCCACGCTTCGCTGGAGCCGTCGGCCCAGTTGACCGCCTTCAGCCAGAGTGCCGCGATGGAGCTGTCCGCGCATGGGCACGTCCCCGTCCCGCCGCCCCGGAACATCCCCTATCAGGTGTGCCGTTTTCCCCTTCAGACTCAATTCGGATTTAGTCGACCTCTCGCTCCGACATCCTGATGAGGCAGCACGAAATGGGCGCCTCACAATCGACCGATTCGGGCCCTGACTCGCGTCGTGCCAGCCAGCTGAGCAGCGACTTTGCCGATTCCCAACGTATGTTTGGTGCTTGACGCGTTTTTTGCTTTGGCTGAGCTTTTGGCAGTGCTTGGGTTATTTATCGGGTTCGACGAGCTCCTTTTGTTTTCCGCTGTCTCTGATTTGTCCCCTAAGCTTAATTCACCTTTCGATTGAAGCCCAAAAATGTTTGACATCTAGGAAAAAGTTTTCCGCTTGCTTGCTTTCTAATTCTTTTTTTTTTGGCTTGCTGCCGTTTCTTTCCCTTCGCTTGAATAATTGCTTGCTCTAACCTGGCTTCCGTTAGGCTGTGCTACGCTGCCCAGGCGCAGCACTTCTGCGGCCGGCAGCACGGCGGCTGATTATTCTACCGTCGGCTACGCGTCACTACCCCGAGGCAGCCGCACGTGTGTGTCGATGAACGGGGAGGCTGTGCCCGTCGTCGTCGCGCGTTGTGGTCGCATCGTGCGCCGGCAAAGCTCGAGGAACTCGCGAAGCAGCATCTACGAAAGTGTCTACGGAGAAATTGTGGTCACTGACCCGCGCGAAGAAGACGAGGAACTCGTCGAGCAGCAGCATGAGCAGGCTGAAGGCAAGGGGAACCACTGCACGCGGGGCTTGTTGTTTGTTTGTTGGTGGATGTGGTGTCTTGATGTCTCGCATGTCATTTGGGCTTTATTTTGGTGCATGGTAGAACATAGGTCAAGTCATTGTCTGGTGTGGCTTGATAACTCGCTGACATGCTTGCCCAAAACGAAGCCAACTCGCTGGACAATGATTTGCACTTTGCACTCTTTATATATTTATATACCCTGATTTTAAGTATTCGATTCTAGGGAACCGTCCTGATGTCTACCGAGAACGAGCTTCCACCCAGCAGTCGCACACCAGCTCCAATGGTCATGTCAGTGATCACTTTTTGGCATTCAATAGTTTTTTTAGCACGAGTATCGTCAGACGGCCAGCTACGAGAGGTCGGAGACGAGGGAGCGAGGTTGGGTTTTGACCATTTGCCTAGATATTTCCTTTTTCAGTGAACGAGGGCTCTCAATTCATCTCGTGGGTCGAGGAGCAGAACAACCCGCACGCTGCCGCCGCCACGATGTCCAGCCAGAATGGAGGCCATTCGGAGACGGACGACGATGCTTCGGTCAAGGGTTCAAGTGAGTGCTTTTGTTTTCGGCTGTCTATAGGCTGGACCGCACCGCGTTCCGGGCCCTCATTGTATATTGTCTGGCGCCTCTAATTTGCCATTTTTCAGGACGCCGCGGTTTCTCGTCGCTCTTCTCGCGCTCGTCGAAGAAGTCGAACAAATAAGCGGCCAACATGACCCATGCCAATCCACCCTCGCTCCCATTCGCCATTCCAAATGATGTCACATGCCCACTTCTCCAATACGGCTACCCATTTCCACCCCAAAAAGAAGACACCCACAACTTCTCGTTCGTTTTCCGATGAAATCGTGGCCCAGATCCCTCTCTGCTCAATCTCGTTTCTTTTATTGCTATTTGTTGTTTTGTGCAAAAGAGTTATAGTCGCCAATTTGATGTTCCTCCCCCCACCCTGTCCACAAATAGCTAAAGAGTTATTTATCCCCGCTAATTCTTTGGTCGTTTGATTCCTCGGCCTCTCTGACGACGCCGATACTAATAAATGTTCTCGCAATCCACGAGTGCACACCGCTTGTCGTCGCTGTCCCCTTCGGACCCCGCCCCCTCCCACTTGCCGAGTTTTTCCGGGGTATTAGTTTGCTGATTGTTGGGGTCGTCTTATCTTACTTTTATTCAATCATCAGGGGCTTTGTACGCGTACCACCATCTTATTCTTCTGTCGTCACGTCCGATTTAGAGTCGCGGGTCTGGGAGCGGCTGGCGCGTTCATTGGACGTTCCCTGGAAACTGTATCTCTAGCTCTTGGCTTGGAATGATTTATTTGTGACCCGCGAACGTTGTTTGTTTCCTTGCCTTGTTGATTTTGATGCGCAGGCCAAGGTTGAACGCCTTCAGAACGCGGCAATCCGGGCACAAATCTACAATGCCGGTCCTGGCGGAAACAGGTGAGAAAAACTACATTTGCCTTGGCATCGGGTGGGTTTCTTACAAACATAACCGGCTGCGACTTTCGGGACCGCTTTTCTAAACAACGTTTCCTGGACAGCAAATGTTCGTTTTCCGGCGAGTAACCAGCTTCAGAACTTACGTCAGCGCGTCTCGGCAGCTGACGCAGATTGGAGCGCCGAGCGTGTCGGTCGTCGTCTTCTCCTCCAGACACCAACAACATTTATCGAGCTGTAAGTGGACAGGATTTTTGGCCTCTCACAGCTGGATCCAACCCGTGGTTTTACCCGCTTTTTCGCCGTCACTGCGTCGACCGCCTAAATCCTGTTTTCAAACCAACCCTGTGCTCTGTTCCACTTTATTCTTTGCTCTCAGATTACCCGCATTCATATGTGCAGTGCCATAGCATGCGCATGAATGCGGGTAATCTGCTTTATTGGTCTCTCTGCTTTGCTGGCTGCTCTGGTGTTGCGAATCATTCGAGAAGTCATGTTTATTCAAAATTGCCGATTCTGGCTTCAGAGGACCTTTCTTTGTTCGGCCGCATTCTCTTCAGCAGCCACCTGCGCAGTTGGATGGGCATCTGGCTGTAAGATCTTGGCTCAAGGTCACTGGTTATGCGGTTCACCTTTGAGGTGGAAGAAGGCACTTTTTGCGCGTAGAGTTTCGGATCAGCTTCCTCGAGACGGGAGCACCAGAACTTCGCCTCCGACTGGCTGTACTTGACGTCTTGATCTAGCAGGGTCAGCTAGATTGGAAGTAAGAAAAACGAGCATTCACTTGCATCGATATCCAACTTGTGCGTGTCGTCGAGTGTTTGGCGGAGTTCAGATTCTGCGGCTCGGACGGCGCGCCGGGCGCTGGCGATTTCAGTCAGACATAACTAAAGGTAAGTCGTTGTAAGAGAAATATGGAAAATTTGAAAAATTCTCCGCCATTATCGAAACACTGCTGGAATCGCCTACTTGGGTATTCAGGTCTGCTGCCTGCATGCACCCGTGGCAGACGCATTCCGGGGCGTGGTCGTGCGGCTTGCCCCGGAACGCGCGTCCGGTCTCCATGAGGCCGTACCCCTAACAATATATTCTCGACAGCTGATATTTGAGGAGAGACAAATGGTTCTGGACTGTTAGCGGGGGACGGAAATTTTTAGCAGGGGAAAACCAAATTTTTCCCTTCGATTCTCCACGGCCCTATAACCAAATATAAGTAATTTGTATCAAAATTTACATAGTTTTTAGATATATCAACAATGAAAAATAATAAAAATTTTCGAAGCTTTTGAGTTTTTGGTTAAAAATGCATGAAAAACGGCAAAAAAGTAAAAATTTTGAATTTTCAAAATGCTTAAAAATACTTTTTATAGGTTGTAGCAAAAACTACTAAAAATCATCAACAGGTAGAGGTAAAAACAGGTAAAACAAAAGGTGGCTCCCCCTGCTAAAAAACTCCCTCCCCTCCCCGCTAACAGTCCAGAACCAGGCAAAGTAAGGCGCATACTTGGGGCCGGATCGGGGCGGCGGAATGACCAGCATAAGGAGAAACTCCATTCTCGTCTTCAAGGGTTCGGTAGGCGGCTCGCGTCGTCTTAGTCGTTAGCCAATACTGGCTCGATGCCTCTGCGGCTAAGGCTCTCGCGGTGTTCAGCTGAACAGCCGATTTTTCGCATAATAACGCTGATACCTTTGTACGCGCGGCTTCGAGGCGTTCCGTCACCGTTTTTGATGTAGCTATAGAGGTGTCTACTTGCGCCGTCAGGCTTTTTGCGCGCTTCTGAAAATACCCGAAATACCTCGCTTTCCCGAAACCAGTCCTCACCACTTCCACGGCCATAGCGGGCGACTCCATTCGGGCGGTTATTCGGAGCGATAACTGTGTGTTTTTTGCAAAGTTTCTCTACCGGACCTAATTTATGCCAGATTCAGATTAGGCCAGCCCGGGGGGTGATCATCCTGCTATATATTAGACCTCCCGAACCCCCCCCCCCCCTCATTTACCCCCAATGACCCCATTTTGACCCCCATCGCAACACCACCGGGAACCCCCCAACTGACCCCCCTACCAACCCCCAATGGACCCTCCACCCGACCCCCACCTGGCCCCCATACGTACCCCCTTCGGCCCCCAACAGAACCCCCCAAACCACCCGCCCGTGCCCCCACAAGTAATGTTGGGCTATTTGCCCGGTCCGGTTTTACTATGCAAGATGAAAGATGAACATCATTTTCGAGCAGTTCGGACAACTCGGCGCCAATCCGAGTGCAACTCATTTTGGGGTCGTTTGGTGGCATTTCGTCGAGGTTGTTGAACACGGCGGACGATTTCGAGACGTTTTTTTCTGACCGCGCTAGCAGGCTGGGCAAAGCTGCTAAAGAGCTGAAACTCGTTGGGCAGAGAGAACTTTTCGCACTCTTTCGACTGATGCCCTTCTCGATCCAGGAGTCCCAGTGCCGATCGAGATATGATGGTTTTTGTGCGGCGACAACTTCGACAGGTACACCTTTCGGCACTAAAACGCTCCCCTATCTGTCCCCCGACGGTGTTGGAGAGCGGCAAGTATACCGTTGGAAAGAGCGTTCAAAATGCTACCTTCTCAACGGCTTGAAGCAATTCTATCGAGCTTCTTTACGCTGCTAGCGCGGTTAGAAAAAAACGTCTCGAAATCGTCCGCCGTGTTCAACAACCTCGAAGAAATGCTACCAAACGACCCCCAAATGAGTTGCAATCGGATTGGCGCCGAGTTGTGCGAACTGCTCGAAAATGAAAATGAGTGTGAACCCAGGGAGTCGCCCTCCACCACGACTCGCGAGATGACACCTATGAGTAGAACGGAAATAAGGAATACTCATAGAATCTCTGTATCCCTTTAAAGCGCACGTTCAGGGAGGGGCCGTGTACTCGTCCCAACGCGTACACCCTATGGACGTAGGGACCGCGCTCACTGCCTGCTACCCATGGCGGGCAGGCAATTTCCCTCCTTTGCGGCGTGGGGCGCCCCTCATCCCCTCGCAGGTTGTAGCTGTGGCTGACTGGTATGCATCCGCGCCTCCCGAGCGGGGGGCCCGGGTTCGACCCCCGGCCGCGGCAAAATCTTTGCTTTTTTCCAAAAAAAAACGTCCCTGAACGTGCCCTTTAACCAGCGCCCAAAACCCGCTTCGCGGGCCCTGGGCGCTGGATTGCGGCCTCTGCATGAGAAATTTGACTTTCCGATAGCTCGGGTCCTGCGGACCCCCCCCCCCTCCCACCACCACACGCGCGCGTGCAACTCGCAAGAATGAGGACATTTCTATTTTTCACTTTATGCAAATTAGCCCTCAGGAACCCCCCCCCCCCCAAAAAAATGAACAAAACTGGCTTTAACTTTGTAAACGTGCATTTTATCAAAATTCTGAGAACGCCATCGGATTTAAAGCCCTTACAAATTTAAAGCCGGTTTTATTGATTTTTGGAGGTCCGGGAAGGCTAATTTGCATAATGTGAAAAAAATACAAATTTCCTCATTCTTGCCAGTTGCAGTCGCGAGTTTGGTCGTCTCTTTGGATCCGCCTCTCGATGCCTTTCCTTCCCCTGTGCCGGGCAATCCCCAAAAGGGGTCTTTGGCGCGTGCTGCCAAGCATTGCATGGTGAAGTGGTTAGCGCTTCGTCCTGCTAATCCAGCCATCGGAGGTTCGATCCTTGGGTATCGTAGTTGTTTTGCCTTTTGCTCGGAAAGCGCGTTTCGGAGTAGATTTCCGTATAGGGACGTTATTATGAAGTTAGTCACTCAAACCTGCGCCGCAAGCCAAGGAATCAAGCTGCTCAAGCTAGCGCCGCAGGCTTTAGAGCGAAGCTAGCCGCACCAGGCTTCTGAACGAAAAAGCGCTCAGGCTGGCGCCGCAGGCCAAAAAGGCAAGCTTGCGCCGCATACCAATACAAAGAGGTTTGCATGAGAGATGCGTTTTTCTTTCTTAAGGGTAACTTTACGTGGAAGGGCACTCGATTCATGGGGCCTAGACGGGGTCCAGCGGGGGGAGAGTCGCGAAGCGGCTCCTCTCCCGCTGGTTATACATATAATAAGGTAGGATTAAGTCTGCCAATGAGCTCCGATGCGTAAACAATGTCATGGAATAAAAAAATGTTCGCAATTTGATATGCTCACCAAACCCTCCATCGGACCCTCCGAGACCCCCCTTTGGGCCCCCCAAAACCGCCATCCAGACCCCCTTTTCAACACCCCTGCAAACCCCCATTCGATCACCCCGCTGAACCCCTACCCTGCCCCCCCGCGCAACCCCCCTAGGACCCCCATCCAAATCCCACAAGTTGGGAGGTAAATGGGAGGGGGGGGGGGGGTTCGGCAGGTCTACTATATATAGAAAAAAAATATAATGTTTGTGTGTGACATTTTGCATGCAGCTTTCCCAGGCGTGTCCCGAGGATCTCTCGATAGATCTCGCTCGTAAAGCACGAAAATGGCCGGAACATAGCATTACCGCCAACGTTTTTGCACAATTTTCGATTTAATGGGTAAGCGTCGCCACTCTTCAAATACTCTTAAAAGATGCGCAATTGAATTTTACATAGCATGATTTGTTGCCACAAATTACAGGAAACTCGGCTAGGGACTACTCTTTATAGACATCCGCGCCAAAAGAACCGTTTTCCCCGCAACGCAGAACACACGCGACGCGGCACGCAACGCGGCACGCAACGCGACACGCGACGTGGCACGCAACGCGGCACTAAATTGTGATTTTAAAGAAAACCCTTTCATCGGGGAAGCATCAGAAATTAGGTCCATTTGGCAGAAATCATTGGTAATTGACAGGACAAAATTGAAAAATTTCGAAAATCCGTAAGGAGCGATCTGCTCAGCTCGTCGAGAGGCCTCGATATATACCGAAAACGCCTTTTTTGTTTTTACTTGGTTTTCGATCTCGATCTATGGCGAAATCGACAACCAAGTAAAAACAAGTATCGTCAATTTTTCCAAGTTTTCCAATTTTTCCAATTGCAGTTAGGGGGCTGATTTGAAAGAGAAAAATTTTCTGGATACGTTGGCGACAGTAATGTTTGCAAAATCGGCGGCCGGGTCAGAAAGATCAAAATAATCGAGGTCGAAGTTTGACAATTTTAACTAAAGGATCACTTGAAAAGTGGCATATCTCGAGCTTTAGAGATGAGTAGCAAATTCGGAAAACGAGGTGATGCTCAGCGTAGTCGATTCTATCTGTGTGAAATTTTCAGCGAATTCTCAGCGCGGGTTTGTTCGGGGTCCCCTAGTCAGTACACAGCGTTCAGAGCCCTAAGAAAAAGGTTCGTCGAGCGGGGACAGGATGGAGAGGGGGTCTCGGCACTCTCGCCCTCCCTCTGCTGTCTGCCCCCACCCCCGCGCGTTTGAATCATAAATGGTGTGTACGAAAGATTAGCCCGGCTGTCTGCTATCGCGCGCCCCACCCCTCCCCTGCCTGTCTGCCCTCGTGTCTGCGCTCTAGAGCGCTCTGCATCCTGTCCCCAGGGGGCCCCCTTTTCTGAACCATGTGAGTAGTCATTCCTTCTACTTAGTCATTCATTGTTCTATTGGCACTTGAACGAATCCCCGACAAACGATGGAACATTCAATTCTCTGAAATTCATTTTTCATTTCTAAAAATTGCCTTAAAGGGGCACCGAACTGCCAAATCAAAGCCCTTTTTATGATAGTGCCGCGTTGCGTGCCGCGTCGCGCGTCGCGTTGCGTGTCGCGTTGTGTGCCGCGTTGCGTGCCGCGTTGCGTGCCGCGTTGCGTGCCGCGTCGCGTGTCGCGTTGCGTGCCGCGTTGCGTGCCGCGTTGCGTGTGGCGTTGCGTTGCGGGGAAAATGGTTCTTTTGGCGCGGATGTCTATAAAGATATTAGTAATGTCGGGTTTTGCAAAGGCTTTGTGCTTCCTACCACTGGGTGCATGATTGATCTATTCACCTCGCCATGCCACCTATCAACTGTTGAAACAAACAAATTGTCACGTTGCAGCTCGCGTTGCGTGCCGCGTTGCGTGCCGCGTCGCGTGTCGCGTTGCGTGCCGCGTTTCGTTGCGGGGAAAATGGTTCTTTTGGCGCGGATGTCTATAAAGATATTAGTAATGTCGGGTTTTGCAAAGGCTTTGTGCTTCCTACCACTGGGTGCATGATTGATCTATTCACCTCGCCATGCCACCTATCAACTGTTGAAACAAACAAATTGTCGCGTTGCAGATCGCATTGCGTGTCGCGTTGCGTGCCGCGTCGTGTGTCGCGTTGCGTGCCGCGTTGCGTGCCGCGTCGCGTGTCGCGTTGCGCGTTGTGTACCCGAATTTTTCGTCTATATTACCAGTTTTCAATTTTCAGCGAATTCTCAGCGCGGGTTTGTTCGGGGTCCCCTAGTCAGTAGTCATTCCTTCTACTTAGTCATTCATTGTTCTATTGACACTTGAACGAATCCCCGACAAACGATGGAACATTCAATTCTCTGAAATTTATTTTTCATTTCTAAAAATTGCCTTAAAGGGGCACCGAACTGCCAAATCAAAGCCCTTTTTATTATAGTGCCGCGTTGCGTGTCGCGTTGCGTTGCGGGGAAAATGGTTCTTTTGGCGCGGATGTCTATAAAGAGATTAATAATGTCTAGTTTTGCAAAGACTTTGTGATTTCTACCACTGGGTGCATGATTGATCTATTCACCTCGCCATGCCACCTATCAACTGTTGAAACAAACAAATTGTCACCTTGCAGCTCGCGTTGCGTGTCGCGTTGCGTGCCGCGTTGCGTGCCGCGTTGCGTGCCGCGTCGCGTGTCGCGTTGCGTTGCGGGGAAAATGGTTCTTTTGGCGCGGATGTCTAT